TTTAACAGTAATGATAGGTCCAGTGAGTTACCTGTCTACTTCAAGTGAAGAAATAGGGTGGAAAAAGTAATTAATACAACTGCAAAGTAGGAAAAATAAGGCAAACTGAACTTGAGGTCCATTTTGGTCTAGACATGGAGAGAGCCTATGATGTATGAGTGGGGCGCAGATGTATTCGTACGTGCAAGATCAGTGCGAGTGAGAGCTTGATCAAGCAGTTTCACAAACGTATGTAGTTCATCTGCCATGCGGGTCTCGGAGGGAAGACTGTTCCATATTATTGCATACTTGGTGAGGAAGAAGTTTTCCCGAGTTTTTGATCTGTATTTCTCAACTTTGACCGTAGATACTTTGTTTCGAAGTCCGTATTCATGTGAATCTCGGGCAAGAATTATCTTGCATGTTGAATAAGTAAGGTTTTTGAGTAGTTTGAAGTAGAGAATCAAATTAGACCTAAGCCTTCTCTCCCAAAGGGGTGCTATTCCTAAGATTTGGCATCGAGAACTGTAGTCAATGACCGAGTCAGTCTTAAGTACTTTGCGGGTGAAGTCTCGTTGTATTCCTTCCACCTTTAGTATATCAGATAGGCGTAGGTTGGAAAATAAGAACGAGCAGTATTCAACGATAGGTCTTACACAAACTTTGTAAAGAAGGATTTTACATTCATTTTGATAGAAATTACGGAGAATGAAGCCAAGCAATTTCCTCATTTTGGATGCTTTGGCTGAGATGTGTTCAGAGAAATTAAGACTGTGTGAGTAATGTACCCCTAGGTCAATTACTGATGCCAGTCTAGGCAGTGTGTGATTGCTAAGTGTTAGTTTCATTTTAAGAGACGTGTCTCCTATACATAACCAGCCGCATTTCTCTATGTTGAGCTCTAACCTCCAGCGTTTGCACCAGTCATCTACCATGTTGAGTTCATGTTGGATTGTTTGCATAGTACTGCGTAAATCGCAAATGTCAGTTTTATAGATGACTTTTAAGTCATCGGCATAGAGGTAGGTCTTACCTGTGCTAAAACACTTGCATATATTGTTGATGTAGATTATAAAGAGCAATGGACCCAAGACACTACCCTGCACAACACCACTGGTTATTGGTCGAGGTGTAGATGTATTAGAGTTAAGGAACTGATTGCTAAAGCAACAATGCTCGCACATCAGGACACCGAAGCACCCATTAGTATCGCAGTAGACGTATCCGACTCGGCAATCGGTGGCGTCTTACAACAATGGGTTAACAACTCCTGGCAACCCTTGGCATTTTTCTCTAGAAGGTTGCTAGACACCGAATCGAGGTACAGCACATTCGGCAGGGAACTCCTAGCTATGTATTGTGCTGTACGGCATTTCCAACACTATATCGAAGGCCGTGAATTCACTCTTTTCACGGACCATAAACCGCTCACTTTCTCGTTAAGCTCTCCTTCAGACAAGTACTCTCCCCGTGAGTCTCAACAAATGGACTACATTTCGCAGTTTACTTCAGACATTCAACACATTTCTGGAGCAAACAATGTAGTCGCAGACGCTTTGTCTCGCATAACTTCCTTGAACAGTTTCCAAGGAATCGACCTTCTTAAACTTGCTCAGCTTCAAAAAGAAGACACTGATCTTCATCACGAGTTATCGTCCACAACACTTAAACTACGTATCAAACAGATGGGGACAGGTAAGGAAACCTTACTTTGTGACACATCTACGGGTAGGGATCGCCCAATCGTGCCTAAACATTAACGACGCAACGTCTTCAATACGTTGCACAGACTTTCTCACCCAGGTGTTCGTGCAACCATCAAGCTTATAGCAGAACGGTTTTGCTGGCCTGGAATGAATAAAGACGTGAGGGAGTGGGCACGCTCTTGTGTAAGCTGCCAAAAATCTAAGGTTATCAGACACAATAAATGTCCTTTAGGCTCATTTAAAACTCCCGATGCTCGTTTCGACCATGTTCATCTGGATTTGGTAGGACCTTTACCAGATTCAAATGGATACGCCTACCTCTTAACCTGCGTAGACCGTTTCACTCGATGGCCAGAAGCAGTACCTATCAAGGACATCACTGCCGAAACAGTGGCTCGCGCCTTCGTCGAGCGATGGGTAGCAGACTTCGGCTGCCCTTCAACCATCACTACAGATCGCGGACGTCAGTTTGAATCTGACCTTTTCCGTCGTCTGACCACACTCTTAGGAATCACTCGCTTACGAACGACTGCCTACCACCCACAAGCAAACGGGTTGGTAGAACGCTTTCACCGACAACTAAAAGCTTCACTATCAGCTGCGAACGTTTCACAGTGGACCGACGCTCTTCCACCTGTCTTACTAGATATTCGCAATCCAGTGAAAGCTGACATTGGATACACTGCGGCTCAACTCGTTTATGGAACGACACTTCGACTTCCAGAAGAATTCGTGGACCCTTCATCCTCTTCAATGAACATGGATCTAACCTCCTACACGAACAGGCTTACAAACGCAATGCGTTCAGTTAAACCTGCTTCCACTCGACCTCAATCAACCGATGTTTTCGTTCAACCTGACTTACTATATAGTACACACGTTTTCGTTCGTCGAGACTCGCATCGACGACCCTTCGAATCAGCATACGAAGGACCCTTCAAAGTTCTTCAACGTGAATCTAAGTACTATATAGTCGATAAGAACGGAACAAACGATAGCATCAGCATCGATCGCTTAAAAGCAGCGTATTTAGAAGGAAATCCTATCTACGTGGATTTTCCTTCGGTACAATCGCACAACATGACTCCTACACTCATAATTCCTCAACTGACAACCAACACTAGCGATGATACTCCGCATGTATCTGAAAATAAACGTAAAACGACGCGATCTGGAAGAAGAGTAAGATTTCCAGAACATTTAAACGACTACTGAACGTAAGGCACTACTCGACATTTTATATTATCTCGATTTTTCTTTTTACGATATATAATATTTAAAAAAACAATTTTAATATGCCTATATATTTATATTTTTATTTAAAAAAAACAAAAAACAAAAAATTATTTCTTTAAACTCTATTAAGTGTGCTTGAGTTTATTTTCCATTTTTTTCGCCGACATTGTGTTTTTACGCACATACGAGTGTATTTCGACATGCACTTACACTTTCTTTTTTCTTTTCCAGGACGGCTGGAAAAGAACGATGCAGTTTACGAGGAGTCGAAATTTTAGTTGTAACTTTTTCTTTTTTTACTATATTGTACCTCGGTCTCATATAGAAAGGAAAGACGACCAGACGCTGCTACACTTAGCAAGCTATCAGAAGAGTGTTTACCAACGACAAACTCGTTGGGTTTAAACTTCTGGCTGGCCACGTCTTAGGGTCGTCACTGCCCCACTAGGGGGGGAGTGATCTATAGCGGTAAACAAATCCCCAAAATAAATAGCTCTAAGTTTTCGACATTGGATGCTGACCATATGTTTTGGTGGACTCATCTAGCTGTAGGCGCTCGGTCATGCATCTGCTCCAGATCACGTGTGGTAACGCCGTGCTCAACATCAACCACAATCGCTAGCCAGATTAGATCGGAGAATTCCGATATATTGGTTATCGCCAAATACACTCTTCCGATCTCCTCGACTCTGCCTTTTGATTTCTCTGGGTGGGAACGAAATATATTAGAAGGTGTTACTGGTAGACGCGTTGTCAAACACTGAATACCTTTGACATCATCACCTTAGTGATCCTTAAAGCAGAAGGCATGCGAAAACGTTTGTAGAGTTCAAAGGGGGTTAATATAGATGTTCTAGGAATGTTATCTGCAGCCATTAGAATTCAATAATATTTTAGGTAGTGCCTTCACTCGCAACACATCTATATATATATATATATATATATACCTTTGTATACCAACCCAGTCAAGCCAGAAGGGAAATGAAGGAGTTTGAACATATACTTGGAAAATTGTCGATATGTTGAGAAACGTTTGATCTAAGCCATCTAGTATTTGCAAATGATGCGTAGCAGTGTGTTTGGTGGTATCTGGTATAGCTGCACAATCGAAAGTATTCAGCTAGGGTGTCCAGTAAAATTACTGAGATTAGCATCAATATCGACGATTTACAGAGATTTGTGGAGATTGCAGTAATGTTAAAAGTTATATTCATGAGTCGATCGAGGCCAGAGCATCATTGAAAACCTGGATTCACTTGACGGATGTTTCGCCCTTGTACAGGGCTCCTCAACAGTGCCTATCCACGGTCTTGCACTCGGGACTGGAAGCCAGAACCTTCGGTCTCGCGCGCAAACACTTAACCTCTAGACCACTGAGTCGCATCCAATGGTGTTAATGTCTGACTTCAATCGATAAATGATCTTGCGCGACCATTCATCAGTTGTCTTACATGAGCACCTGTCACAACCAAACACTAATTGGGATCCATCTGTCACAGTTTAAATTACAACTCAAGGAGATCGATCCTGAAGCCACTCACTAGTGAGCGCATGATGGTTATTATCAGAATGGGAATATCTAGAGGTTGAAGTATCTCATGCGGGATCGTGGATGCGCATTAGTGGGGAGTTTCATACTAGGACGAAATGGCCGTCCAGTGGTTTCGGATTTTCAGTGGTGAACTAGCTTAGATAGACTCATGAATTTAACCACTTACAGAACTATCTGTTTTGGGGATTTATTGACCGATACAGCAGCCAAAATAGAAGTTACTAACGTAGAGATTTGAAGACATACTTGGAATACCGTCAATATTTCGAGAATTATATGAGCTAAGCTAATTCGTTGATGCTAAGAATGCGCGGCACGTTTTATCCGCTACAATTTCAACCCCCAATTATCTGTGGAATTCACCACGATAGGCAGAACCAAGTAGTAAAATTACCTTCATTGGATGCTGCTGAACACACATACGAAGAAATTAACACAGAGAATCGACTTCAAAAATATTAGTTGGTGTATACCTGGCAGTCATGTCGATATTGGACACTGAAGGTAGTTGGTGGATATTACAGATCCTTGGTATTGGCGGGTTAATCGATGAGGTTAGGTCGCATTTTTTATTTCGGAAGTATATTCCAACGAATAGGTCTAGTGGCCCTTGTAGATGTATTGTAAAGACTTACTATTCAGTACTGCAGACCGGTAAATAGGCACGGAATTTTTAAATAGAGAACTACTTCTAGTACTTAAGATTGATCTAATCAGGTCATTTAAATGCAGCTTCTCGATACGATTATTCGAAGTGCTTGGATCTAGTTAACTGTAAATAACCAGATTAGTTGATGCCCTGGCCGCGAAGATTTTAAAACTGCTCTAGTTATATTCCTCGGGATTAAGAATTTGCAAGTGATCCAATCTTGCAAGTTTGGTCGAGACTCATGAACTAAACTAGCTGAATGAAGTGAAGTAAGTAAAAACTAGTTAGCCAAAAGTGTCGGTTATTGCATCGTGTAACAGTTGATGAATAGAGAGAAGTATAGATGCCTAATGAAAAGGTATATAATAGTCAACTAAAAGTGGTTTGAGAGCCAAATTTGGCTGAATATCGGGAGAGTATTCAGGACAAAAGGTCATGATATTATTAAAAATAATATTTATTAATCGTAAGTTCGTCTTCAAAGGTTTAAAAATGCACTGGTGATGAAATGTTTGTCTGGAGAACTACGCAACACAGATTTTGGGGATTTCTCCAAAATTCAGTTTCAGTTTGGGAAGGACAGGAGGCTTGATGACCTGTGTTAGTCCTGGCAACGGTGGTCCCTCAGTTGATCCAACTTTCTTTTGAAAGAATCGACGAATGGAGCCTCAACCACGTGCTGAGGTAATGAGTTCCACTAGTTGATGATTCAATGGGAAAGTCGATAGTCAGTTGACAAGTAATTTGTTCTTGGCTTGTGAACTTTTTTGGAGTGTTCTCGTAAATTCTCTGTTTTGGAAGACAAGAAAAATCAGGGCATATCAGGTGCAAATTTGGCACTAAGCAATTTGAAAACTGTAATCAAGTCGCCTCTAGTTCTGCGATATGACAACGGGAAAAGGTTAAGCTTGGCCAGTCGAGCTTCATACGGAAGCTTCGCTATTCCGGGAATCGGCTTAGTTGCCGTTCTCTGAACCTTTTTCAGAAGCTCACTGTCTTTTTTTAAGCAGGGGCTGGCCGCTTGTATGCAGTACTCACACTAGTTAGGCTAACGCGGCGGTAGTTTTCAGGTTTGTGTTTCGTACCTGTTTTGAAGACTGGACTTACTATGGCGTTTTTCCAGTCTTTTGGTAAACGAACCTGCGTAACGGATAGGTTAAAGCATGTACTTAAAGGGCTTGCAACGAAGTTAGATAATTCCTTCAGTAGCCTAGGATGTAATTCATCGGGCCCCGTGGATTTACTTATGTCAAGCTTATTTAGCAGACCAAAGACATCGAGTTATTTAATAGTCACGCTATCCAGTGTATGTATGGGGGGATCTGTATACGCTGACGTGAAGGGCGCTTCTATGGTATATACGTTGCTAAAGTAGTTTGAGAACACTTGAGCCTTACCAAAGTCGTCCTCCACTAATGATGAAGCAGAACTGTCTCCCCATAGAGCAGGAATATTTCCTCTTCTCTTTGTCCTTTGGTTTATATAGGAATACAGGCGTCTAGGACATTCTATGGATTCCTTAACAAGTTTTCCTTCGTACAATTTTCTAGACTTACGGAGGGTCGAGGCACAAGTATTCCGAGCCTTTCGATACTGAGATTTTGACTCATCAGTCCCCAGTAACCTAAATCTATCCCACATTTTTCTTTTCTTACGAAGAAGAATGCGGACCTCCCTACCGAACCATGGTGGGGAGTTTCTCGGCCCCCTTGGTATAGTCCAAGGGATGTGGGGTGTGGTAACTTTTAAGTGCGAATTTCGAAATGCGTCCCAGGCCGTTTCAACTGAGGACTCTGGGTCTATTGTCAAATCTACTAACGATGCTGAGTGTATGTTACCTGGTATATTTGCTTTCCAAACGTTAGGTCTGGATTGGGCTGACGCGTGCTCGTGACTGACAGTTATATGGCCACGCGTATACAGCCTCTGCCGGGGAAGTCCAACTCACTGCCTTCTCGTGGCGGGGGTGTTGTTTACGAAAATGAGAGGACGAAAAGCGAATGTCCGGCGCTTTAACCGGATCACAAACCAATGGTGCACATGGGCTCCAGTATCCTGCGGGAACAAATGGCGTATGAACCAATCGTTGGTCACCGGCTACCATGGGATTGCATCTCCTTACGATGCTCCACTACCTTGTGGGTTAGACCATTAGGTCAAAGGCTCGAGGAGTGGCCCCTAAGAAAATCACCTGCTTCGGTTTGGGCACCCGTGCAGTATCACAGTCCACAAACAAATGTAAGTAATGGTGGTATGGATCTGTTGCCTGGAGAAAGACCTCTCGACCTTGAGTATGCGGACGATATTGTCTTACTGTGCGATAACGCCCAAGGCATGCAATCCGCACTTAATCAGTTGGCAACCAGTGTCCGTAGGTATGGTATGTGCTTTGCACTTCGAAGTGCAAAGTACTTCTACAAGACTGGCAGGATTCCAATCCTGTACTCACCCTGGATGGTGAGCAAATAGAAGTAGTCGAGAAGTTCGTGTATCTGGGTAGCTGCATAAGTGCTGGTGGGGGTGTGAGTGATGAGATCAATGCACGTATAGTGAAAGCCAGAGCGGCTTATGCCAATCTGGGCCACCTTTGGCGCCTTCGTGATGTTAGTCTGGCTGTAAAGGTCGGATCTACAACGCGTCGGTGAGAGCAGTTTTGCTCTATGCTTGTGAAACCTAGCCTCTCCGAGTTGAGGACGCTAGACGACTTTCTGTGTTCGATCATCGTTGTCTCCGAAGGATTGCTGACATGCAGTGGCAACATCATGTCAGTAATGCAGAGGTTCGGCATCGTGTGTTCGGGCACAGAGATGATAATTCAATTGGTGTCACCATCTTGAAACACCGACTTCGGTGGCTTGGACATGTTCTCCGAATGTCGTCCCAGAGAATTCCACGTCGTGCATTATTTGCCGACTCTGGGACTGGTTGGAAGAAGCGGAGAGATGGTCAGTGCATGACATGGTGTCGTGGTATGAAAGAAAGCTGCAAAGGACTGGCTTCTGTCGGTCCTTCACGACTCCCTGGTTGGGGTCCGAGAGATGGTGCAACACAGTGGCTAGAGACATTATCAGATATGGCTCAGAATAGAAGCCAGTGGCGATCCTGTTGTAACCTTCTTTTACTTTCTTCATAAAAGTGGTTGTTTCTTCCTTACCTGAAATATTTGTTCTGATTGTACCTTTCCGTTCCCCCATTATGACTATTATTGTTACTACACTCCCTTACATCAATCTCTTCATCATTGTTTTTTTTTAAATTTTTTATTTACGTTCCTCATTTTTTTTCTTCTTAAATTCTCATTGTTTTGTGTGGCGCATATATGTTTGGTGCACTCCTGTACCAATACTCATGTGTTCAAATAAATAGTAAATAAACACTGTCCAGTCATTTAAGAGGAGTCCTTTTCAATGAGGAACGAGATGCGATGATACTCAGAAGCAAAAAATAATCAATGACCAAAAAGTGAAGAACTGTAGATTGTTAGGACCAAAAGTGCTAACAGATACAATTGAAAATGAGGTCGTAACTAGTTGTAAGCTTGCTGATTGGCTAGATCATACTCTAATGAAGTATTTTACGTCTTTGAATTAAACTTTAGTTGTAACGTTCAGTCAGTCAGTCAGTAACAACGTAGAACTTCGTACGTACGTACATCAGTTCGAGTTGCCACACCACATTAGCACAGAGATGCAGTTGTCGATTCAAATCCCATAGTGGTAGAGGTAATAAGAGTATAAGCAGTAATCGGGAAGATTAGGGTTTGGAGATGTTATTTAAAGAGTATAATCCAGTGAAATAAATTTGGAAAGAGGAAAAAAGGGACATGGAGAATTCAGAAGATTAGAATATGGAAGAACACAAAGAGTGGATGCACCTGCGCCATTGCAAACGATTTTGAGCCATATCATTCAAGGTCTCTAACCATCGGTTGCTATCATCTCGCGGTCCCCAACCAGGTAGTCTACACCTACCAACATGACTCAGTCCACTTGTCAGTGACTTCATGGACTTGTGCCATGTTTTGGTCTGCCCGCCCCTAGCTCTCTTCCAACCTACTCCCATACCACTGAACATAGCACGTCGAGGCAGTCGGTCGTTGGGCATACGTAACACGTGTCCCGGCCATCTCAACTGATGAAGTTTCACTACTTCATCAATTGATTTGCCATCCTTACCTAGTACCCGTTTCCTAACAACTGTGTTACTTACTCGATGGTCCCATGATATACGAGCAATGTTTCGAAGACACCTATGATCAAATACTAGTAGCCTACGGATATCCTCTACTCTTACCGGCCATGTTTCACTGCCATAAAGTAGGACGGAACGAACTGCTGCGCAGTAAACACGTCCTTTGGTTGATAGACGGATATCTCGCCTACGCCATAAATGACGCAAGTTGGCAAGATCTAATCAAGCCTTCTGTATCCGTGCTGAGACTTCGTCGCACACCAGACCACAAGGGCTGATGAGACTTTCCAGATAAGTTAAGCGGTCGACACGCTCAACTACACTCCCTATCATTAGTTCGGGTGTCGATGTAACCCAATCCTGAAGCAACATTTTGCATTTCGAGGGAGAGAATCGCATCCCGAACATGCTTGCATTGTTGCTTAGAGTGGTCAGAAGACTCTGCATTTTGTCAGCGTCTTCACCAAATAAAACTATGTCATCTGCATATTCTAAGTCAACAAGTGAACCTCCCGGTAGAAGTTCAACCCCTGGAAATCTAGACGAGGAAAGTGTTGTCTCTAAAAGTACGTTGACGACAAAGTTGAACAAGAATGGAGAGAGTAGACAGTCCTGACGAACACCACTTGAGGTAATCAATTCTGATGACAGTTCACCATAAGCTCTCACTCGACCAGTTGTGTTCGAGTAGAGAGCCTTTATAAGGTTAATGTACTTCTTTGGTACTCCTTTCAGTAACAAACACTGCCATAGAACCTCACGATCGACAGAGTCGAATGCCGCCTTAAGGTCGAGAAATACTACCATTGTGGGGCGTCTGAATGTGTGTCTGTGTTCTAGAACCTGACGTAGTGCGAATATCTGGTCTATACAACCACGTCCAGGTCGAAAACCAGCCTGATTTTCTCTAGTCTGCTCTTCACGAGCTTTGGTTAGGCGTCGACGTATTATTGAAGCTGATATTTTAGACACTATATTAGTCAAACTGATTCCTCTGTGATTGTCACAAGAGGACTTTTGTCCTTTCTTATAGACTGGCACAATCAGTGATTGAGACCAGTCAGATGGGATTACGTCCAGTTCCCAAATTCTACCTAAGACCTCGGGTAATCTCATTGCTAATACTGGACCACCATCCTTAAAAATCTCAGGAGTAAACCTGTCAGGGCCTGCTGCTCTCCCTCGTTTCAGATTTCCTATGGCTTTTTCAACTTCGTAAAGGGACGGAGGACCTACATTAACTTGCCATTCAGGTTGACTAGAGATCGTGGGAAACCGAAGTGTGGCTGAAGGCCAGTTGAACTGATCCCTAAAGTGTTCTGCCCATCGATCCAATCTCCTGGATTGAGAATGAATAATATGTCCATCTTTCTCTGAGATTGTTTCGCTAACGGTCGGGTTGTAACGTTATTTTGCACTGACTCTCCTAGTCCGCCCATATTCATGTTTATCTCGTTAGCTTCCACTTCCTCTTTAGTCTGAAGTATGGTGGGTTTTAAATTGAAGCCGAAAATGAAAATTTACATCAGGATGTCACGAAGATGTCAATGACGTTTAACTCATGAATCAAAATCGTAACATAAACATTAGTGGGAACCAAATTTTAAGAAATGTAATGTACAATAACGAGTGACAGCAGAAAGTAATGGGTATTTGCTAATATTAGAACTAAAGATGTGAAGGTAAACAATCAATGAATGCATTTGGGCCAAATTACGTAGAGTTTTTGACTCCCAAGTACCTACGGATAAGTCCATACCACCTTATCTAAGGTCATGTCTTATCCTGACTTTACCTCTTGTTAACGGACTTTCTTTATTTTCAAGGTTTAAGTGCATACAACAAATATCTAAATGCCTTTCATAGTACTTAACCTACTCTCTTACCTACCATTTTGATCTAGTAATCCGAAACGTCGAAGATCCAATGTAGAATTTTTGGATCTAAAAAACATTATTGAATCTCCACCTATGGATCTCGATGCTGATCAGAATATCAGAAAGTCAAAAAGACTTCGTCGTGATTCTGTATGTCTATCAAAGTCAGAAAGTAAAGAGCCTTCAAAACCATCCAGAGCACCTCGAAGAAAGTCATTGAGATGCCCATTAAAGCAAGTAAGTGTTTTTAACATTTCAGCATATTACTTTGCTGTTATACATGTCTTGTTAAGCATCACTCATTTTCGACTCATAGGTTGAATATGATCCTGTTATAATCTCTTTCTTACGGTTATGACCCAGCTATTCCTATTACTTAGTATTCTCGGACACTGATTCACTCGACAGGTCCCCAAATCAGAACACGGCTGAACAGGAAAGAGATTATATTCCAAATAACAAGGTTAGATGGAAGTAAGATGCACAATAGAGAAAACGTTAGTATATTCATAGTTTTTACATGAGAAGATTCTAGAGTATTCTCCAACTATCGACTAGTGCTGATTGGATAAGAATTAGCCAATCAGCGTGCAGCAAACCAATCGTGCATTGAGCATGCTTTAATCCAGTCTATGTCCCACTAACAGATCCTATCTTCAATTTTCCTACCACATGATCCGTCTTGTTCCTTCCATTTCAACGGTTTAAAATACTTCTTTTGAAATATTACTAAATGTTGTCCAACAATCACTCTTCTGATTGGCTGTATTTTGAACACCGTGAATTGAATGTGAATATGCTTGTAGCAGTGATGAAGAGGTAGCTTACTGATGTGAAATTCGAGTGTAAGGTCATTGATAATACGTTCAAACATCTGCTCACTTTGGCTTGGGTAGCTACATGTATCTCTAACTATCCCACAAGATTTTAGTTCAGGGGTCAGTTGATTACACAAATTTGTTCGTAGTCATCGAGTTTTGATTTTTGTCTTAGTTTACAGCATTTTGACGTTAAAGTCGTAATAGAAAATAGACTCACCAAGCTGGTTGTGATAATTTTTCCCTCTGAATTTGTTTCACTTACAACATCGGTGTAGTATCAAAAAAGGTTTGTCGAAGTAAAAATAAAACGATATTTACCCTTTAAAACTAGGACTTGGAACCCCACTAACAGTGCAAAATGTAATGGACCAAACCAATTTCCAGTCAAATCAAAAGTCCCGATTACTATGCCATTGTAAATATTGTTAATGCTTACTTTTGTGTGAAAGCAGTCTCCATTTATCTATTTTGGCTGATCAATGCATGTTGAAATTTTCAAATTTCTATGATTACCTTGTCTCCTTATATTTATTCTGTTCTGTTGGCCGAAGTGATTCGTCTCATGTTGGGTTAAGTTAGTTCCTGATATTTTTCATTCATTTTTGAGTACAGTGGGTGTTCAGAACTTTATAAGGTACCAACCAAATTTATCTGTTAATGTTCATTCTTTACTCCAATTACTTCTTATGTAACCGATTCGTGATTTATTGCTTAGCTTGAAATATTTTATTTTTAGTTAAATTCGCATGATAGTACATCCACTAATCCTACTCAACTAACTGTTCAAATGAAAAATGACCTACCACACATGGATGTTAGTTCTATCAATACTATTTCATTTGGTAATCTGTCAATTTCATCACCAAACAAGTCAGAAAATACTAAATTATCTCGTCCAAGTTCTTCATTTATTCCTGCATTTGTTTCAGATTTTTACCTCTCTAAAAGATATATTCCCCCTAAGCACAGAGGGTTAGCCACAGTAGTTGAAGATTCTGTTAAACGGAGTCAGCGACGTCCTAGATCGTACAAAAAGACCGAACTTTCTCCAATAAGACGACAAATATTTACAGGCCAAACTCTTGAGGAAGCTTGTGCCCCTACAGCTGCCGGTATTGCTCCGCTAGACCCAGAACTTGTGTTGTCAGCTACACGTAAGCGTGTTATCAGGCGTCAAAGGCTTGCGAAAAAGTTAGGGTTTCGTGGCATTAGTATATCCAAGCAGACTGAAGAGAACTTTGCTAAATTTCTTTCACAATCAAATTTGAATTCTTCTCACAGTAGCTCAGCATCTATCTGAGATTAAATGCAATTGTCCTTCATATTAATCTCGTACTGCTTATTGATACCTACGTCTTTCAATTAAATATCAAAATTCAGACCCTCCTTGTTTTATGAAAATCTTTTATTTATATGACAGATATTTCCACCAGTGTTCACATAAAATCTTGCATACATGGTTTGCAAAAGCATCGTAAGAACTTCATATTCCATCCCTTTTATCTTGCATATGGTATCGTGTCGTGTATACTTTTTGATTAAGTATGAAACCTGTTCAGATTTTTTACAACTTACGTTTACAAAACGAATTTGACTTTTAACTCCCTTTAGATTTTGTTACAGCCCAAAATGTGGGGGATTTTATAAAACATCATTTACTCTGAATATAATCTTTTTCGTTCTTTTGAAACAAATATCCTCATATTTTTCAAAAGCGTTTCTTTTGTAAAGTTGGGCTATGCCTCAAATACTGAGACACGTTGCATATCATTTTTATCAGTAAGCTTTTACCACAGATTTTAAATGTGACCATTAGCAAACTTTTAAATTAAAAAGAAATCAATAACGTGGTTGAGTTTTAAGATTTTTTCAATATTGCTTGATCGGCAGTTGGGTGCCCAAGTTTCTAAAAATTCCCGTCTTAATCGTACTTTCTTGTAACTTTACTAATTTTAAAGAATAAATCGTGTGTACCAACAGTCCTGAAAGCACGTTTCGTCTTATCTAGGACCTGTCAGCTGCACCGATTCTCATCTCAATGTTGATTATTTTGGGACTTGAACCCAGTGTCCTTTGTTTCAGACGCTAATATGTTATGCACTAAGGTACTGAGTCAAGATTGTCACTTACATGTGTGCCGACAAAGACCAGTCAAAATACAGTTTTGATCATCTATAAAGTTACTAACTTCTGTCTGAGCCATATTGGTAGATGCAAGCAACTTGGGTGTGGTCCGGGCGACTATCGTAACCAGCGGTTGGAGGCTCTGGGTGACATGGCTCAGAATCAATCACAGTGATACAGGTGCATACACTCTTCGTCTTCCCTTAAACTGTGAGATTAAAATTATTTATACATTTCTTTCTACGAACTAATTATTTATTTGAACACATAAATATTGGTACAAAGGGGCGCCGAATACACATGCGCTACACAAGTCACTCGAATTGGGTGTAGGCTGTGATACTACCCCGGTGCCCAAACCGAGGCAGGTGGTTTTTTCTAGGGGCCACACCCAGAGCCTTCGACTTAAAGGTCTGATCCAAAAAGCAGTGGAGCAACGTCAGGAGATGCAGTCTCATGGTGGCCGGTGGCCAACAATTGGTTCATACGTCATTTGTTCCTTCGGGATCTTGGAGTCCATGAACACCATTGGTTTGGGACCAGGGTTTCCCAACTCCCCGAGGTGGATCCTCCGTGTCCACCAGCACGATTAAAGCGCAGGACATTCGCTTTCCGTCCTCTCAATTTCGTAAACAACACCGCCGCGAGATGGCAGTGGGTTGGACTTCCCTGGCAGTACCTGGCCATGGGAGAGCTGACTCCCCACCCTTTGTCCAGGTATCATTATCCTTATATGTAATCTTTTTCTATATATTACTATCATAGGAGTATGATTTTGATACTCATCGTGTTGTGCTAACAAGGTATGACAACGGACCGATACATATATATGCCTGGTCCTACGTTGTAGAAGACTGACTTGCTTGGATTGTTAAATAAGGTGCTCAGATGAGTTTGCACTTTGTCAGCGTCTTCACCAAACAAAACTGTATAATCTGCGTATTCTAGGTCAAAAAGTAAATCCCCTGGTAGGTCACCCGACCGTAGCTGCTACCTTGACGCGGTGGTCGGGCTTGCCTATCGTGATGACCCAACCGAGCTATATTGGTTGGAACATATGTTCCTGTAGGTTCTACCATGCCAGGCGGGTCGATTGGAGAACAGTAAGACTAAAAGCAGCAACTCAAGGTCTGAGGGGCAAAGTTATGCCGCTGACTGTAGAGGGGTGTGACAACAGTAAGGTGTTCCCCTCGGAAAACCAGCATCTGCAGAGATGCTGCCTTCTCACAAGGAAAGAAGGGGTTAGAAAAGATTGACCCCTAAAATGTCACACCTCACCTTGCCACACGGATTTCCGTCTCCGGCGGTAAGGCCCTTTGAAGAACGGGGCTAACACATTAAAAACCTTCCACAAAAAGACCGTGCGCGACCGGCCTCAAGCAGTTGTCCCCTGGGCTCTGTGGTCACGCTCCCAGGTCGTTAAGGCTGACATTAATCCGACTTCTTTTTCAGGTTCCTCAAGAAATACCATTCCACAGTGTGGGCAGCCGGGAAGTGATATCAGCCCTCATACCCGTAACAGCGCACGAGACCAAGTTGGTCACATTCAAATCCTTCCTACACCTCCTAATACCACTCTTATCTCCCCAACTAACCCGTCTCACGTCCTTTTATCAGCTCACACCGCTAGGGCAAACGATTCGAGTACGCGGAACGTTATTCCTGGTCTCCTGAGACCACACTCTAAACTTCATGTTGGAGCTTATAACGTACGAACGCTGCGCCAAATAGGACAGCAAGCTTCCTTAGCTAGGACTTTAGAGTACCGCGCCATCGATATGTGCTGCGTCTCCGAAACGCGCATACAGGATCCGAGTAGCGTCATTCATTTGACATCACTATGTCAACATAAAGAACCAACTCGATTCTCACTTCGTGTATCTGGAAGCCCAGATGCTGCTTCTCGTGGCCTCGCCGCCATAGGTATAGGATTGAGTCCTAGGGCAGAAATAGCTCTCTTAGACTGGATCCCAGTAGACAGTCGTTTGTGCGCTGTCCGACTAAACGGAACAGTAAGGACTCGGAAACATAGAGACACTCGTCGTTGCCTCTTCGTCGTCTTTGCCTATTCTCCCACTGATTGCAGCGCAGATGATGTAAAAGATGAGTTTTACAGAAGGCTCCCCGACCTTTTCCAAAAAGATAGGCGCTCTGATGTAGTAATAATGGCTGGTGACTTTAATGCTCAAGCGAATAAACTGAGCGAAAGGGAAAGACATCTAGGTAAATCTTATGATGCCGTGGCTCATGGAACAGATAATGGCGACCGTCTGTTGCAGCTATGCTCAAACAACCGCCTGTTTCTTGCAAATACTAACTTTAAGCATAAGCAAAACCATCTTTTAACATGATGACCTCGAATTCTTTCCAACGCTGGACCCAACATCGCTAACAGCCACCGATGAAGGGGCTCGATATAAGGCTGTCGCTCGTTTTGGAGCACATGCTTAGATTCAGGTCATGCTCTAGTGCGAGCGCATATTTGTCTGCGTCTTGCTAGAAGTAGAAAAGATGCTGCAAGGAAACCTCTTAGGGCAGACTAGAGAAAACCAGGCCGGTTTTCGACCTGGACGTGGTTATATAGACCAGATATTCACACTACGTCAGGTCCTATAGCATAGACACACATCCAGACGCCCCATAATCGTATTATTTCTCGACCTTAAAGCAGCATTCGACTCTGTCGATCGTAAGGTTCCATGGCAGTGTTTGTCACTGAAAGGAGTACCAAAGAAGTACATTAACCTTGTAAAGGCTCTCTACTCGAACACAACTGGTCGAGTGAGAGCTTATGGTGAACTGTCATCAGAATTGATTACCTCAAGTGGTGTTCGTCAGGACTGTTTACTCTCTCCATTCTTGTTCAACTTTGTCGTCAACTTACTTTTAGAGACAACACTTTCCTCGTCTAGATTTCCAGGGGTTGAACTTCTACCGGGAGATTCACTTGTTGACTTAGAATATGCAGATGACATAGTTCTATTTGGTGAAGACGCTGACAAAATGCAGAGTCTTCTGACCACTCTAAGCAACAATGCAAGCATGTTCGGGATGCGATTCTCTCCCTCGAAATGCAAAATGTTGCTTCAGGATTGGGTTACATCGACACCCGAACTAATGATAGGGAGTGTAGTTGAGCGTGTCGACCGCTTAACTTATCTGGAAAGTCTCATCAGCCCTTGTGGTCTGGTGTGCGACGAAGTCTCAGCACGGATACAGAAGGCTTGATTAGATCTTGCCAACTTGCGTCATTTATGGCGTAGGCGAGATATCCGTCTATCAACCAAAGGACGTGTTTACTGCGCAGCAGTTCGTTCCGTCCTACTTTATGGCAGTGAAACATGGCCGGTAAGAGTAGAGGATATCCGTAGGCTACTAGTATTTGATCATAGGTGTCTTCGAAACATTGCTCGTATATCATGGGACCATCGAGTAAGTAACACAGTTGTTAGGAAACGGGTACTAGGTAAGGATGGCAAATCAATTGATGAAGTAGTGAAACTTCATCAGTTGAGATGGCCGGGACACGTGTTACGTATGCCCAACGACCGACTGCCTCGACGTGCGATGCTCAGTGGTATGGGAGTAGGTTGGAAGAGAGCTAGGGGCGGCCAGACCAAAACATGGCACAAGTCCATGAAGTCACTGACAAGTGGACTGAGTCATGTTGGTAGGTGTAGACTACCTGGTTGGGGACCGCGAGATGATAGCAACCGATGGTTAGAGACCTTGAATGATATGGCTCAAAATCACTTGCAATCGTACAGGTGCATCCACTCTTTGTGTTCTTCCATATTCTAATCTTCTGAATTCTCCATGTCCCTTTTTTCCTCTTTCCAAATTTATTTCACTGGATTATACTCTTTAAATAACATCTTCAAACCCTAATGTTTCTGATTACTGCTTATACTTTTACCACCTCTACCACAATAGGATTTGAATCGACAGCTGCATCTCTATGCTAATGTGGTATGGCAACTCGAACTGATGAACGTATGTACGAAGTTCTACGTTGTTACTGACTGACTTCCTCTTTCGCCTCCCTCGTCGAGTGTCTCCATAGTCAACGATTTTACTGCGCAAAAGAAAAAGAGAACAATAACGAAGAGATTGGTGTAAGGTAGTGTGGTAGTAACGAGGTACAATCAGAAGAAATATTTCAGGTAAGGAAGAAACAACCACTTCTTATGAAGAAGGTAATAGAGGGTTACAGCAGGATCGCCACTGGCTTCTATTCTGAGCCATATTTGATAATGTCTCTAGCCACTGTGTTGCACCATCTCTCGGACCCCAACCAGGGAGTCGTGAAGGACCGACAGAAGCCAGTCCTTTGCAGCTTTCTTTCATACCACGACACCATGTCATGCACTGACCATCTCTCCGCTTCTTCCAACCAGTCCCAGAGTCGGCAAATAATGCACGACGTGGAATTCTCTGGGACGACATTCGGAGAACATGTCCAAGCCACCGAAGTCGGTGTTTCAAGATGGTGACACCAATTGAATTATCATCTCTG